GGGCTCCTCCACACCTCCACGTCAGCCGATAGCACCCAGGGGTTGTCCCACCACCAGCTTTAACCAAAGAGGCCCGAGAGGAGCCAAAGTGGCCATCACCACTGTCACGTGTCTGGCCCAGGCTCAGCATGGGGACAAGGGACCCCACACACCCACTTTGTACTGGGTGCTGCCGAGCACCCAAAAACATCAGGCAGGGCACTCAAGACCAAAAAAAAAAACCACCCAGTCCTCAACCTCTAAACCTTGGGTTTGGGGCCATAAGCCACACTTTGAGGTTGAACCTGTTGAACACCAACTTGTTTTTAGAAAAAACAACCCCAAACCCTCCTGGCATGGCACAAATACCCATTTCAGGAGCTGCACCAGCAAAACGAGCCGGGCGAGTACGCGGCAGTGGGATGGTGCCTTTCGTCCCCATGGTCACCCATCACATCAAAGGCTCCAACAGCCCCGTAACGCCAGGGCTTTGAAGAAGGTGCTTCAATAGTTTGGCCAGAAACGTGGCCGAACCACAGACCCCCACCCCGGCACCCTAGGGTGCTAAATCTCCCCAAAAAATGTGGTGACACCACCCCAGGCCCCAGTTAGCCAACGACACCTCCACTGGGGCTTTCAAGCTGGGTCATTTTCATGCATTTCACCCATTTTCATGCATTTTGCTGCATGGGCCAAGCTGGCGGGGGTGTGCAGCTCAGCACCCTCCCCAGGCATCTGCTGTCCCCAGGGTGGCCCTGCCACCAGCTTGAGCATCAGCTCCTGCAGTCTCTGCTGCCATCTAGTGAAAAATCCTCCCTGGCCCTGGGTGTCCCCCAAAAGCCACCCCTGGTCCTCCTGCCCCAGCCAGATCTGTGCCCCCAGCCTGGTGTCCCCCCCCAGCATGGCCAGGGTGGCTGCAGGGTGACACAGCACTGGAGAAACGACACCGAGCACCCTGCAGCATCCTCCCCATCCTGCCCTCCAGGGCGTGACACCGGGGCTGCACAGACCCAGGACCCCCAGCGCTGGCCCGGAGGGAGGACAAGGCAATTACATGGCCTGTCCCCATGTAATCCATGTCCTGAGGACACGGCCAGCGAAGGGGCACCTGGACAGCCCAGACGCTGGGGTGCCCCATTTCAGGGCTCACAGCCTGGCACCACCGCGAGGATGCTGGCAGCAGACGGCAGCATGCTAGAAAATCCTGGTTTTATTTTCATTTAAAAGCCATTCTGAGCCCAGAGTGAGCAGCGAGCTCTTCCCCAGGGCATGGGGATTTGGCCCCATCAGCACTTGCAGTTCCCAAAAAATAGGAAAGAAAACCAAAATAAATCCCACAGGTGTCACCTGCTGCCCCAGCCCACTCCTGGGAAAGGCTGCGGGACAAGTCCCGTGGGATAAATCCTGCAGCACTCAGCTCTGCACGGTGCCGAGGTTAACACGAACCAGGGCACAGACACATTGCGACTCAGGACGTTCACTGGTGCCAGCCACAGGCTCCTTTCGGAACATCCTAACGAGGCAAGCGGGGCTAACGAAGCCCTGGTCTGGCACTGTTCCTAGGTGCGGTCCCCGGCGAGGACGCCTGCGCTGGGGGACCCTAAAGTGCTTTGCAGGGACGCAGACACACGCATGCACCCACCGCTAGATGCCCCGGTGCTCCAGGAGAGAAGGGCTGGGGGCAGGCAGGGAGCCCAGGAGCTGGATTGCACCCCCACCCTTGGGTGCCGGGATGGCCCACAGGACCAGTGGCCCCTTTCTCCCTGTCCCCGTAGACCCCCGGGGCTGGGGCCGTTCCTCCAGCCACAGCCCTGAGGGTACTGAGAGGGGGACGAACAGGCAGGCTCAGCCCAGAGCCGCTGCCCCGGCTTCCCCCACAGCAG